TCCTTCTCCAAGGCTATTTCCACACTTGACCTTGTGTTCAAAAGCCCCAGGGCTCTGACAGTTTGGAGTCTCAGAATGACCATCTTCTAAGTCCTCTGTTACAAGGTGCCTCCAAAACGTATGTTCTAGGTTTAAGGGTTCCATCAGCCCTAACATTCTTGTTTCTAAAATTTCTCAGATATTCTCGTTTGCTAAGGTTCTGTAAGCTCTGACAATTTCTGTAACCAGAGAAGTACCTTTCTACTCTCTAAGGTTCTATCCACCTTCTGACAATCCCTACTGTAGCAGTAATTCCAGCTTAAGTCATTCTGTACTGTAAGATGTCTCCTAGCTCATACATTCTGTTTTAAGTGACCTCTGAAATTCTGTACTCTAAGATCTCTTCTACACTCAATATTCTTTCTCAAAAGACATGTTCCAACCCTTACTTTCTATGTTCTAAGGCCCCACCAACATGGGAATTTTTTCTGTTTACTCATTTTTATTTCATGACATTGAATATGGTTCTTAGTCATCTAATGACATAAAAGCATATATCATGACCCTTTTAAATCCTGTATACTTAACAGTGGTATGCTCCAACCAGCTCATCCTAGATTTCGAAAGCCTAATGTTAACATTTTTTAGTGTACATCTTGGAAATCAACAAAAACTAAAAATTAGGGCTTGTTTTGTTTATTGTCTAAACTTAAAATGATAGAAAAAATGTTATTAAAACAGATTAAATCTAAGTGTGTAGTATGTCAATCCCCACTCCCTCAGGGTCCTCTGTCAACATTTACAAACACACCCTTGCATAATACTTTATTTCTTTAATAAATATAGTTAGTTAATGACTCTCAAGACCAGTCTTACCTGATCAAGGACCTGCATGATACTTCTTTTTCCTGGCAGTCAGATAAGGCTCTTTATTTTACTTTTCCTCTTTGCATGGTGCAAGACCTTTTAATTCATAGTATCAAGACTATTCTGATATAAATTATATTGAAATAAATGTTGTGTATTATACCATACATATACTTTATTATTATTGTTGTTTAATTAACCTGTCCCTCCCAATTCCTTGGCCCACAGAGCACATAAACAAAAATCCTTCCCAGCTGTAGCGTGTATTCTAAGGCCCCTTCTAGCTTTGATAATTTGTGTTCTAAGAGTCCTCTAAGGCATTGCATGGAATTATTTTTGCTGTATTTTTTGGGGGGGGGGCAAATAAAGCTCTGTATTTTTACCTTTGGTTGTATGGTTCAGAACCTGAGTTTTAATTTGGAACATCATCATTTTACTGATATAAATTTTATTGAAATAAATATTTCATATCATTCTATCACTGCTTTTTAAAAAACCAATCTGACTATACCTTGGCCCAATGAGATTAGAACAAAACAAGACACAATGCTTTTTCATCTTAGCTATCGTGTGTTTTAAAGACCTCACTTACCTCTGGATTTTAAGTTCTAAGACCAGTCCCATCCCTGAAATTTTCTGGTTTTACAGCCACTCCTAAACCTAACTTTCTGTGTTGGAAAGGCTCTCTTTAGCTCTGTTATCCCTTCTCTATGTCTACTCCCAAATTTGACATTCTGTGTGCTAAAGTATCCCAGGCTCTTGCCAATTTGGTCTCTGGTCCTGAACATCTCTCACTTTTGTGTGTTATAAGGTCCTTTCCACATCTGATACTCCATATTCTACAGACCCATCAAGCTCAGGCATTCTTGATTCTAAGATGTTGCCTTGCTTAGAAACACTGTGTTCTAAGTCCCCTCCCAGGGCTGATAGTCATTCTACATCAATGCCCAGTTCTGACTTTCAGTCCAAACTCTGAAACTCTGCATTCTAAGCTCTCTCCTGACTCCAACATACTCCCTTGAAAGATACCTATGCACCCACACACTCTGTGTTCTAAGGTATCCCTGGACCCAGGATGACGTTGGAGATGTTTCCCCTTTTTCATTTCTTTTTGAGTCTCAGCAATACAATGATTTGAAAAGACAAAAGATGTCTCTTTTAGATTCTGTGCAGTTAACACTTTTTTAAAAAAATAAAATATTCCATATTCATTACCAATACTCTAATATCAATAGCAGTCTTATGTGACCAAGATACTGCATGAATTAGTTTTGTCTTTTTTATTTAGCCTGACAAAGTAACTGTATTTTCAAATTTTTACTTTGGTCAGGCGATTCTATGTTCTAAGGACCTCCCAAAACCAGACACTCTACATTCTGAGGCCTCATGCAGCTCCGACCTCCCAGGGATTTTTCTTTTCATTTTTTTAATGTCACTGCATATGTTTCTTAGCAATACAGTGAGTGATTTAAAAGCACAAATGGTAGTGCTTTTGAATACTGCATACTTAACACTTTGTTTTCAATAAATACAACCAATCAATCATCAACAACATTATTATCAATTTTATTCTTACCCAATCAAAGCAGTGCACACAAATCATTTTTATTTTGTACTCAAATGATGCTCTGTATTTTTACCTCTCTTTATCTCTGGGCAGTTCAGGACCTGACTTTTAAAATTCTGAGCATCAATAGTGCTGATATAAATTACACTGAAATGAATGCTGCATCTTATACCGTAAGTATACTTTGTTAGTCTTCTTTTAATTAACCAGGCACTCCCAATATCTTGGCCCACTGAGCAAAAAAACAAACAAACAAAAAAGAAACAAACAAAACAAACAACCCTCCATCCAAGATCTGATATTCTGTGTTCTCAGGAACCCCCTAACTCTAATACTCGATATTCTGAGGGCCCTCTCTGCTTTTCTAGTCTGTGGTTTGAGCCCCTGACATCTTCCTCCGACATCCTCCATGATTCTGGTATTCTTTTGTGAAAAGGCCTACTGGGCCTACCAAGCTATGAGAATCACGTTCTAAAGTCCCACCAGCTCTGACATTCTGGTTTTTCAGATGTTCATCATTTCCCAACGAATGAGTTTTAGAGTCCCTTCTACCTCTAATATCTCCTCTTCTCAAGATCCTTTCAGTTCAGGTATTCTTGATTCTAAGAGGTCTCCAGACTCAGACCATTTATGTTCTAAGTGCCCTCCCAGGTCAGATATTCTGGCTTCCAGGGCCACTGACAATTCTGACATTGAGCTGTAACATTCACCCTTCAAAAAGGCACATCCAGTAAAGCCATTCCATGCACTAAGGACCTCCTCAACCCCTATGCTCCACCCAACTCTCACCTTCAAGGGTTTTTGTTCTTTTCATTTAGTGACTTAAAAACACAAATGATTTACCTTTTGAATCCTGAATACTTGACACTTTATTTCCTTCAATAAATTCAACCAATTCACTCCCAATAACAATGGTATCAATAGCAGTCTTACCTGATCAAAGCCATACAAGGAATTACTTTTTTTTTTGGTAGCCAGATAAGGCACCATATTATTATTGTTCTTCTTTGTGTCTGTGGTTCAGGACCTGACTTTTAATTCAGATCATCAAAACTGTGCTGACATAAATTATGTTTAAATACATGTTGCATCTCATATCATAAATATGCTTTGTTATTCCTTTTTCTCTAAATTAACCAATCATTCCCAATAATTTAGCCCACTGAACCAATAAAAACCACTCCACTCTACCTTCTGAGATTGTGTGTTTTAAGTCCCCTCCCAGCACTGCACTGAGATTCTCCTTTCTACTAGGACTATTCCCCCTATTTCCAGGCCCGATATTCTATGTCTTAAGGTCTCATGGTAGTTTGGATTCTTGGACTCTGACTTTCTGTTTTAGAAGATCCCTCCAAACTGGGATATTCCAGGTTTCTAGGGCTCCATCTACTTCAGGCCTTCTGGATGATAAGATGCCTCCCAGCTTCTACATTCCATGTTCTAAGTTTCCTCCCAGGTTTGGTATCCTGGCTTCTGTATCAACTTTCAGTTCTGACATTCAATGTGCAGCCTAACCTGCCATCTGTGAAATTCGGTTGGCTAAAGCTGTCTCCTACCTCCAACATTCTACTTCAAAAGACAATCCCTACCCCACTCCCACCCCCAACCTCACAGATTTTGGACCAACTTCACTCTGACTTTCTAGGCCTATTTTTCTTTTCCTTTATTTTTATTTTGTGACATTGCATATGTTTATAATGATGTTAAAGCACAAATGGTGTCCTTTTAAGTCTTGTGTACTTAACACTTTATATTTTTCAATAAAATCAATTCATGTCCTGGGTCACACAGCAAGTAAGTGTCTGAGACCAGATTTGAACCTAAGTCTTCCTGATTCCAAGTCAAGCACTCTATGCACTGCATCACATAACATTAATATCCAATAGCAATCTTACCTGATCCGTGCTTAGAATTTTTTTTTTTGGTATATGGCATTATATGCTCACCTTTCCATTTTGGCAGTGTAGTTCAGGACCTGACTTTTAATTCAGAGCATCAAAATTATGCAAAAATATATCAAAATAAATGTTCTATCTCATACTATAAACATACATAATTATTTTCTTTTAAAAATTTATCTGTCCCTTCCAATACATTGGCCCTCTGAACACATTAAAAAAAACCTCCTTCCCAGTCTTTCCAGCTCCAACAATCTGTTTTAAGGGCCCTCTCCACTAACTTTCTGTGATTCTTAAGTCACTTCCATCTCTGAAATCCACCATTCTAAGTTATATTCAAATTTTAGTGTATTGTCTTGAAAGGTACCTCCAAGTCAGACATTTCATATTCCAAAGAATCTTATAGCCCTGTACCTTCTCTGATATATTCTAGGGTTCTTTTCTCTTTTTAATTTATTCATTTTTATTACATTGCATATGCTTTGCAATACAGTGATTTAAAAGCACAAATGGTGTCCTTTTTAAGTCTCATATATTTAACACTTTATATTTTTCAAAAAAATACAACCAAATCATGTCCTGGGTCACACAGCAAGTCTGAGGCCAAATTTGAACTCAGGTATTCCTGATTCCAGGTCCAGCATTCTATGCCCTGCATCATACAATATTAATATCCATAGCAATCTTACCTGATCCAAGCTTATAATTTTTTTTGCAGAACAGGCACTGTTCACCTTTCCACTTTGGCGATGTAGTTCAGGACCTGACTTTTAATTCAGAGCATCAAAATTGTGCAGAAGTAAATTATGTTGAAATATATGTTGTATATCATAGCATAAATATACACTGTAACTGTTTTTTTAAATTTACCTGTCCCACTCAATACCTTTGCCCACTATCCCCTTCCCAATATGTTGGCCCACTGAGCAGACTAAAAAAAAAAAGCTTCTTCCTAGCTATGATACTGTACACTGGAAGGTGTTTTAAGGGCCCTCCTCACTGACATTCTGTGATTCTTAGATTACTCCTACCTCTGAAATTCACTATTCTAAACGATAGACAACCTCTGGTATATTCTCTTGAAAGGCATCTCTTCAAGTCAGACATTTCACGTTCTAAAGAATCTCCTAGCCCTGTTGTCTTAAGCCTCTCCTCACTCCTTTGATATTCTAGGGGTTTTTTTTACTTTTAATTTACATACTCATTTTAATTTTTATTAAATTACATATGTTTTAGCAATACAGTGATTTAAAATCTCGTGTGCTTAAAACTTTAGAAATAGCTATAGCAATCTTTCCTGGCAAAGTCACCTCATGGAATTATATTTTTATATGGTTTTGGTTTGTTGGGTACCTTTGCCCTTTGACTATGTGGTTCAGAACACGTTTTAATTCAGAGTATCACTACTGTGTTGATCTAAATTATACCGCAACAAGTATTTCACCTCTTACCAAATATATCATTTACTATTGTCATTCCTAAAACCTTGCCTCACTATGCACATTTAAATAAAAAAACCCTCCTCCAGCTATGCTATTTCCTGTTCTTAGCACCTTTTCCACTCTGACTATCTATGTTCTAAGGGCCCTCCCAATTCTAACATTCTATGATTTCAACCTTCTGTGTTTGAATGTTTCTCACAGTTCTGCTGACACTTTTTCTAAGATTCTCCAATGTCTGATATTCTGGGTTCTCAGGCTTTTACTATCTCCTGCTTTATTAGTTTTAGAGTCCCTCCTACTTCTGATATTCCCTGTCCTCATGATCCTTTCAGTTCAAGTGTCCTTGATTCTAAGATGCCTCCAGGTTGAGACATTTTATGTTCTAAGAGTAGTCAGGTCCGATATTCTGGCTTCTATGGTCACTCACATTTCTGACACTCAGTACTTCCCCAGCTGTGAAATTTTGTATTCTAAGCTCTCTTCCATTATTTTCCATATCACCCTTCAGAAAGCACATTATAGGGCAGAAATTTCCTGCTCTAAGAACCTCTCTGGGCTAATACAGGGTGCTCTGAGACTATGCCCAGCTTGGATCTATTAGGGTTTTTACCCTTGTCATTTATTTATTCATTTTGATTTTATCACACTGCACATGTGTTTTAGCATTACAATGATTTCAAAGCACGTGTACCTTTTGAAACTTATTATACTTTATTTCTTTCAATAAATTCAACCAATTCATTCCCCAAAACATTGTTATCAGTGGCAGTCTTACCTGATCAAGGCCATACAGGGAATTACTGGAAGCCAGATAAGGTACTGTATTTATTACTGTTCTTCAGGACCTGACCTTTAATTCAGAGCATCAAAACTATGCTGACATAAATTACGTTGAAATATATGTTGCATCTCACCCAATAAATATGCTGTTATTCTTTTTCTAAATTAACCAGTCACTTCCAATAATTACTCAACTAAGCAAATAAAAACCACTAAACCCCAGCTTATGATATTGTGTGTTCTAATTACCCTCCCAGAACGCAGAATTTCCTCTCAAGGACTATTCCTAGGCCTGACAACCTCAGCCCAGGCATTCTGGATGCTAAGATACCTCCCATTTACAGGAGGAATATGTATGTTCCATGTTCTAAGTCCTCTCCCAGGTCTGATATTTTGGCTTCTGTGTCCACTCCCAAATTTGATATTCAGTGTGCAGCCTGCCCTCCCAACTCTGTATTCTAAGCCTTCTCCCCCCGTCATTATTTTACTCTGAAAGGCACCTTCCAGCCTAGACATTCTATGTTCAAAAGCCCCACTCAGCTCTTACCTGAGGTTTTTTCCTTTTCTTTTTATGACACTGCAGATTTTTCTTAACAATCCAGCACAAATGATGACCTTTTTCAACATTAACATTTTATATTTTTCAATAAACATAACCAATTCATTATCAATAACATTTATATCAAAGGCAATGCTAGAAATTTTTTTTTTTAATTCAGAGAAAGCACTAAACTTTTACCTTTCTTCTTTATCAATATAGTTCAAGACTTGACTTTTATTTCTGAACATCAAAACTGTGCTGGTATAACTTTAATTGAAATAAATTTTGCATATCATAACATATACTTTACTATTTTAAAATAACCTATCACTTTCAATATCTTGCTAAGCAAGATTATGATATTGTGTATCCTAAGGCCCTTCTGATTTATGACATATCATGTTCTGAGGGCTTTTAAAGCTCTGATATTGCATGGTTTGAAATATACCCTTAGTTCTGACATTCTGGGGTCTAAGTCTCAATCCTATACAAGGTCAAGGCCCACAATTTAAAAAGCACAGAAGGGGTCAAAAGTGGAAAAAGTTTAAGAAGCCATGGTCTAAAGGCCTCTTACATCTAATACCATTTATTCGAAGGCCCACTTCTGATATTTTCTATTCTAAGGTCCCACTGGCTCTGTCATCCTGGCTTCTTAGTTATAATCTCCTACTTTCTGAGTTTTAAGGTCCTTCCTATCTCTGATATTTCTTGTTCTCAAGATTCTTTTCAGATCAAGCACTCTAGCAGCTAAAATACTTCTCAGCTCAGACATTTTATGTTCTAAGAGCCCAGCTGAGTCTGATATTCTGGCTTCTATGTTCACTCCCAATCCTGACATTTAGACCCCTGACTGCCTTCTCAGCTCTGAAATTCTGTATTCCAAGTTCTCTTCAAGCTCTAGCATTCATTGCTCAAAAAGCACCTTCCAGCTGAGACATTTCACATTCTAGGGACTTGTCTGAGGTCCCACCAAGCTTTAATCTGCTAGGATGTTTATCTGCTAGGATGTTTATATTTTTTAATCTATTTTTATTTTATGACACTGCATATTTTTCTTAGTAATACCTTCAAATTGCTAAGAGCACAAATATTTCTTTTAAACCTCATATACTTAACACTTCCCCCCAATAAATACAAATTAATTATCAATTAAATATGTATTAAGTCTTACCTGATCAGGACTGTGCAAATAATTACCTTTTTTTTTTGGTAGCAATATATGACATTGTATTTTCACCTTTCCTCTTTGGCTGTGTGGTTCTGGAACAGAGTTTTAATTCAGAGCATCACCCCTGTGCTGATACAAATTATACTGAAATAATTGTTTCATATCAAAGCACCTTTTTTTTTTAATTAATGTGTGAATCCCAATACCTTGTCTAACTCAGCACATTAAAAAAAACAACAAAAAAAACAACCCAGCTATGAAATCACGTGTTCTAAGGCCCCACCCTGCTCTAACTTCCCAGGGTCCCCCTCCTTTCAATTTTTATTCATTTTTATTTTATCATATTTATCATAAACGTGTCTTGACATTACAATAAAATCACAAATAGTATCCCTTCTAAATCTTATTTAACACCTTATTTTTTCAAAAATGTTCCCCATTCATTACCAATTATAATAATGAGTAACAATCTTACCTCATTACCCTTTTCAAGGTGTAAAGGCAGGCGCAGCTTCACTTCTCCCACCCACCCACAATTGGAGGATGTTTTACCTTAAAGAGGACAAAAGTGACTCTGGGTTCTGATTGGCCCACGTCTTGGCCTCGCCTTCCCTGACACCGCCCCCTTCCACCTTTGAAGCAAACATAGCAGACCAAGGACTCAGAGGCCCCCAGGACCTGATTGGTCCTGATTCGCTGACGTAACCTTCTCCGCCCCTTTTCGTCTTCGGCCAAAGCTGTCTCTGAAATTTGATTGGCCTCGGATTCTGACGCATTTCTTTCTCCTCCCTCCTTCCATCTTCGCAGCCAATAGTGGATAGGCCGACGACTCAGCCCCTCCCATGATATGATTGGCCCTGGATTCTCTGACGCACACGCCCCTCCCCTTTTCCACCTGCGCAGCAAACACTTGCAAAGTCTAGAACGAGGCTGCTTCTGGGATCTCATTGGCCACGGATTCTCTGACGCATTCTTTCCCCTTCCATCTTCGCAGCCAATAGTGGATAAGCTGAGGACTCAGCCCCTCCCATGATCTGACAGGCCCGGGATTCTCTGACCAATTCCCCTCCCCCTTTTCCACCTTCGCAGCAAACACTTGCAAGGCCTAGAAAAAAGCTGCCTCTAGGACTTGATAGGCCCCGGATTCTATGATGCATTTTCTTTCCTTCACCCTCCCTCACCCTCCCTCACCCCCCACCCCCCTCCCACCTCTCTCCCCACCCCCCAGCTCCGCCACCCTCCTTCCACCTCCGCAATGCACACTAAATAGGCCTAGAATAAAGCTGCCTCTGGGACCTCCCAGGCCCCGGATGCTTGGACGCACTTTCCTTCCCTTTCCCTCCTTCCGTCTCCGCAGCCAACACTGGCTATGTCTAGGACAAAATTGACGGCTCCCGGATGCTATGACGCACTTTGCATCCCTTCCCCTCCTTTTACCTCCGCGGCCAACACCGGCTATGTCTAGGACAAAATTGACAGCTCCCGGATCCTATGACGCACTCTCCATCCCTTTCCCTCCTTCCATCTCCGCGGCCAACACCGGCTATGTCTAGGACAAAATTGACGGCTCCCAGGTGCTATGACGCACTTTGCATCCCTTCCCCTCCTTTTACCTCCGCGGCCAACACCGGCTATGTCTAGGACAAAATTGACGGCTCCCAGGTGCTATGACGCACTTTGCATCCCTTCCCCTCCTTTTACCTCCGCGGCCAACACCGGCTATGTCTAGGACAAAAGTGACGGATCCCGGATCCTATAACGCACTTTCCCTTCCCTTCCCTTCCTTCTACCTCCGCGTCCAACACCGGCTATGTCTAGGACAAAACTGACAGTTCCTGGATCCTACGACG